GAGCAGCAGGATAGGGCAGAAAACACAGACTGTCCTCTTGGACATCCTCTGCCAGCCTATGGGTCTGTCCTCGGTGGACTTACCTTAAACCTTTCATACTTCCGACCTAGCAGCGCGTTTCTTCCATACTAAGTGTAATTAATTTTGTTTGCCTTAACCCTGGTGTTTATAAACTAGACAATATCGCTGCGAAATAGCAAATGGGCCATGCTGAATGAGGGAAGACTGTAATTTGACTGGAAACCCTTCAGTCAGGGTTTTTGAAGTCACAGAGTGCTCAGTTGTGTAACCTGTCACCTATGAGAGTCATTCAGCACTGTGCTCATCTTTTCCTGTTCCTCTTCTGAGCCTTGTGACACCTCCAGGCCTCTCGGATGCTTTCGGCTTTCCCAACTAGTACAGCAGTTTCGAGCCCCTGGTTGTTTATGTCAAGTTAACTGTGGTTTTTTGTTTCTTTGTTTTCCCTTTTTTGTTATTTCTGTTTTTGTTGTTTGTTTTGTTTTATTTTCCCTGGGTGTTTTATCTGTCACTTACTGACATTAGACATTTTTTCTGCTGCTTTGCTCTCCTGCTGCTCAGTATGACGAACCCCCCGCCTTTCTCCTCCCTTCAGCTCTTCAATCAGTTCTTGATTTGACTATTGCAAATAGCTTTTTACATCTGCAAACTGTTGCATTCCTATTCATCCCCTTTTATAGATGGCATGCAAATGCTGAATAATTTAAATCCCAATCTATATCCCTGTGGATTGCTACTGTTTTCTTCCTGGGGTCGGTCCCATTTATTACCTCTGGTAAATGCATTTTCTTTAGGAGCCTTTGGCAAATTTGTTCTTACTTCTGCAGAACTCCCTGAAGGCTTCTCAGAGCTTGAGGGACACCATGAGCTCTGGGATTCATTCCTGGAACAGCCAGACAGATGGACAGAGTTTCAGTTGGAACAACCTGCTGAATCGCAGTCGGCACACGGACACTCCCAGCTATTTCAACGGTGAGTCTGTCCTTCCAAGCCGGGCGTTAATGGCCAGCTACAGCCTCTCAAGAAAAAGCGGGTCTGGGATATGGAGTCTGGGAGCTCTTCTTCCCCCTCAGTTACTTTGTCAGATATAGACCCTGCTAAGAGCCCTCGGGCTGTCAAGGTGCCAAGTCTGCCCAGCTGTACATGGTGGAAGGCACTCAAGCCCGTGTAATGTAGTGAGAGCTGGAGAAGCTGCTGAATGCAGAGTGATGCAGCTTTATGCCTTGCCTGGTGCAGAAGTATATCCTTTATAATAATAAGCTTCAGCAGAGTAGTCTTAAGGGCATGTTTCACTAATCAATATGTCTCTTCAGCTGCTTCCTTGCTAAATCCAGCTCTGCTTGTTGTCTTCAGCAAGCCTCTGTGCTCAGCCAAGGAATACATGCATGAAATGCTTGCAAAAAAAAAACCCAAAACCAGTTCTTCTGATGCCTGTGTCTTGCTAATCATTTTTTTTCTGTGCTGGACTGTGAATTAATTCTTCTTGCAGCAGAAATTAATGACTTCTCTGGCACATTTCAGGAGTGAAAATCCAGATTCAGTTGCTAAGCGGAGAAAATCTACACATCAGGGATTTCCACAGGACAAAGGTGGGAGACATTGCCACTGGGATAAGCAGCCAGGTGAGGCACAAAGCTGAGCACTGCTTGACTCTTGCACTTTGGGTCTGTGAAGAAATTTCTTCTGCAATGCAGCCTTGCAATGCCTTAAAGCCAGCGATCGATTCCATTCAGAGACACTAATGGCACAGTTAGTAACTTGACTTCAATTCTGTTGTCATGAGTGTAGTACCAGAAAATATTTCTGAATCATGATCCAGTGCCTTTTGTCATAGGGACCATAGTTGTCCCATAAAAACCCTTCTCTGTAACGAAAGAGATTCTTTCCCCTGTCCCTAAGGAAAAGCAGATAATTACACGACTTTTCCTCTGGAGCAGTGATGGCAGCAAAAGAAAAGCGCTTGGCTTGGGCCATGGTGCTGCTGTCCCGTTAGGCTGGATGGACGTTGGCGACGCAGCGTGGGCCTGGGCAGCTCCTCAGAGAAACTGCCCGTGTTTGTGGCACTAAGACTTGGGCGGGTGTAAAACAGGGCGATCCTCGTCCAGAGGTTGCAGAAGTCCCGAATGCGTCTGGGTGCTGCTGGTTCTCTTTGCAAATCTCATTCTCCTGGAGGTCCTGAAGCAAAATCACCAGTCCCCAGAGAATCCACAGTGCCCAAACACAGCAGTGCCAGTGGCTGAAACCCTGGGTGCTGCTGGATGCTACTCCAGTTCCTGAGAGTTTTTTACTGGGGAAAGCTGCGTGTTTGACGAGCACGAGCGCCTCTCGCCTGGGGCTCCTCGTGGCTCGGGAGCTATTTGCCAGGCTTGCTTTTTGCTGGGGGATGTCCTGCTGGGTGCTGCAGGCCGCTGAAGTGTCCCTGAGCTCTGTCTGCTCTGCTCCACAGATCCCAGTCCCCGCGTTCAGCCTGGTGACCAAGGAGGGCCACCCCGTTCACTACGACATGGAGGTGCCGGACTCGGGCATCGAGCTGCAGTGCACGCTCGCCCCCGACTGCGGCCTCAGCTGGACGTGGAGAGTCAAGCACGGGCACCTGGAGAACAGGCCATGAGGGCAGCTCTGCCTCGGAGGTTTTCACCTTGTTGAAATAAGGAATTGCAAAAGCTTCCGACCGCCTCTGCCGTCAAGCACCACGTGCGGTTGCTGGTGTTTTGCGCTGTTCAGCAGCTCACTGCTCCAGGGCCTCACTTCTTGTCTGTCCTGATCCGGTTCCCAGACACGTCCTGAGTGCCGAAGTTCCCCAGACCAGCGGGAATGGTTTGGCTTGCGTCTGAGTGTTAGACTGAGCTTGAAAATGGCAGGTAGAAAATCCCTGCTTTGCAGGGGGCTGCGGTTGTGCTTCCCAGGAGAGCACAGGGCTTGGATGGGGACACTCGCTGCTCAGCCTCTGAGGGGAGGCCAGGAGCGAGCGGCCTCGCTGGGAGGAGGAGGTTGAGCATCTTCAGCGCAGCCGTTTGGGCAAGGGGAGCTGGCTGGCTGTCTCGGAGGAGAGGCCAAGTGTTCTGCAGGCTTTGGTGGCAGCAGCTCTACCTGCAGCCTTTTGCATGGGGAAAGCTGAAAGCAGCAGCCAGCCGGGTTCTTGGTTTCACCTCCCACCCTTCCCCGCAGATGCTTCCGTCTTGCATCAGAAAAGAGCTTTGTTCCCAGAAAGAGCTTTGCTTGCAGCTCACCCGCGCGTCTCCTCCCGCCTCCCTCGCTGCTGCTGCTGCCGACAGAGGGAGCAAAACGCTCTCCAGGACGGGTAAGAGCCGAGGGTTGTGGTGGTTGCTGGAACGGTTGGAGCAGAAGGATTGTGCAGGCTCCTTCCTCCTCTTTGCACTGCTCCTGCTGACCTGCTGCGGCTTCGCTCCGTCCATCCCGCCGCCCCTGGAGGGAGGCGGGACAGGAGCTCTCCACGCTTAGACACGGTCTGAATGTTGCTGCTGCATTAAAAAAGAATCCATGGAAAAGAAACGTCATTCCCAGCTCTGGATGCGGCCAGCTGGCACCTCTGCTGGAGAGGGGTCCCTGCAGGCCGGGCCGGAGGGCAGGCGCCCCGCTGCGTCCCTGGCGTCCCTGGCATGGGGACGTCCCCTTGTGTCCTGGCGTGGTGAATGAGCTGCCCACACATCTTTGCTGAATTGCACTCTGATTTTAGCACTGTTTTTTGCTGCTTTGGAGTGTGCTGAGTTTGCAACCCCCGGCGGGCGAGCGTTGCCAGCCCCGCTGCGACCCAGTGTGGACGCGGGGGAGGCCCGAGCTCTGCACGTGCCCGGGCAGGGCGGCGCTGGGCCTTGGGGGCGGCGGCGGTGTGGGCGCAGAAAGCAGCAGCCACCGCGCGAGGGCTCTTCACACCCCAAGCAGAGAACTGGCTCCCGAGAAGCACCATGGGCCCTGCTGTGTCTGCAGCTTCCAGGAGTGAAGTTCAACGATGAAATAGCTGGGAAAAAAACCATACTTCGGGCCTCCCGTTTTGAGTAGAGGACTCGAGTTTTGCTACGCACCCGATGTCCTTTCCCTTGGTCTCCAGAACATTGGCCCTTTCCTGCCATCCGAGCCGGTGGCACCATGGCTCCCGAGAAGCACCATGGGCCCTGCTGTGTCTGCAGCTTCCAGGAGTGAAGTTCAACGATGAAATAGCTGGGAAAAAAACCATACTTCGGGCCTCCCGTTTTGAGTAGAGGACTCGAGTTTTGCTACGCACCCGATGTCCTTTCCCTTGGTCTCCAGAACATTGGCCCTTTCCTGCCATCCGAGCCGGTGGCACCAGAACACTGAAGCTGGGATGCAAGAGAAGAGAGTTGCTCGTGAAGGAACCTGTCACCACTGTGTAGTTTTTATAGCACTTTTTGTTCTAAAGCACTTAAGACGTTGTCCAACGCGGGCACTGCTGCCAGCCGGCACGCAGCCACGTCGAGGGGCCTTTTCATAAGCGGTGGCCACGTTGTCTGCATCTCCTCCAGGAGGGAGCAGGAAGGCCGGCACAGCCTCTTTGGGATTAGGCACTTCCCATGCCCCGCAGCTTCCTCCGAGGATGAGGACGAGGAGAACTGCTTGGTGGTTCTTAAGAAACCAGGGAGGAAAGAAGCGTCTGTTCCCGCCCTGAGGCCGCGGCTCGCGGCTTTCCTGCGGCCTCGGAGCGCTGCCGGCCCCG